TAGCTGTGAGTGGTTTCGGTGGTTTCGGTTTAAGCAAACATGACAAGGGACACGGCGGTTTCATGCCTGGATCCAATATCAAGCTGTCAAGTGGCGGACGAGAACTAATAATGAGACCATGGGCTGACAGAATTTTATTCAAAACCGATATAAACTCATGGAGATTTTTTTACATACACTATCATAGTATATCTACATAATACATTTACATATATTATAATTAGCACTCAAGATAAATATTTTGAATTGAGTTCAAAATTACTTGATATGAATTATTTTGTGGCGACTTTAAAATTTTAGTTATATATAATACCTTAAATTTGTTCAGGGACTGCTTTTCACTTGCAACACATTACAATAAAAAAGAATTTAACATCTTTATCAAAACAACTACCAGTAAACAAAACAAGGTATTTGAGGTTATTTAAATCCATGCAACCTGATGCTTCCAATGTAAATGGCCAACTTGATATTAAAATTATATATATTTCAATTATGCAAATACAGCTATATTCTATTTCCAAGTTGTCATTGTATCTCAAAGATTATCTTCTATTTATTCGTTCATCGGCTTCAGGACTATAATACAATTACCAAGGAGCTTTTCCCATACTGAGCGACTTCGCCTCGTTCATTTTGCTCGCGCATTGCGTTGAGACTTTGTCGTCTCTAATTGTTCTATGAGAGAGGAGATGGGACCTTAATTAATAGCATTATAGTTCACAAAGGAAACAGAACTTCAGATGTTTGTATTTTAAAATATTCATTTGTAACATGACTTCTTAGTTAAGACGTCGATGAAAATATAACAATTAGATTGGGCGATAAATTTATGTAGATTCATGTAGTCGCAGTTTTGTAAAAACAATTTTTTTTAACTTGTCTGTAGTTTGACACGTTTTTGTCCAGATTTATAAATTTTCTGAAGTTTAAAGAAATTTTTAGGATGTATGTGATTATAAAAATATAGTAACATTGTAGAAATAAATGGAAAAAATGCAAAAAACTAATTGTTTGACATTGATAACATTTTGATACCTGAGAACTGTCATCTGCCAAAAATGCTGATTTACTTAAAATTTGAATTTAGTCTAAGCGATCCTAGATAATATTAGAATATAAAATCCATATTTATGATTATGAATAAGAAAAATGTAATATCTATTGACGAAAATCAGTTGAGATTTGTTGAGATACAGTATATGTTTGGCAGATAAAATTATATAATTTAGTTTAATAAATAACGAAATACTTTCAAAATTGCATATAAATTATTTTTTTAAACTTATGCATGTTGTATTTCGTTTTACTTTACAAAAGTATTTAAATACAAAATATTATTCTTACTTAATGAAAAAATGATTTAAAATTTTATTTCAAGTTCATGATCTTAGATTGAACAGTGCCATATGCATTACATTTTACCAATTCCCTTAAAATTTTAATTAAAGTAATAATAATTATTAAATTATTAGTAAGAAAAAGGTAATTTAGATATTGTAATGGCCAAAAAGCAAATATAGGGTACGCGGTTATATAAATTATAGACTATTATATATTATATAAATTATTGAAGCAATTATATTGGCTGGAAATAACAAAGGTGATATTGTTCTTTTACCGTAGATGCTATATTTATTCTTCCTGAATTTCTTATACTGATAAAAAAACTGCAGTTTCGAAGACCTATATAACTTATGCTAAAATTATAAATGTAAGGACAATAAACAAAATATTAAATAGGATATTAAAAAAAACTGGAACTTAAATTGGGTATATAACAGTCTGTCGGGTCATCTAGTATATAAATGGTTATGGTCAGGTGCCAATTATTTGAGACGCTCTCTTGATCATCCTGTACCATTAAAACTTTGACTATTTATATTTTTTAATTCGTTTTTATTTTCTCAAGACAGTAAATAACTTGTTAAAAAATATAGTATAAATATATATTATACAATACTCCCTTTGAGTAATATCATCACCTATTACGCAAATATGTTATAAATCATTTTTGACCGACAAATGACAATTTTTTGCACATTTTTTAACTTATTAACTTGTAAAAGAATATAGTAGAAATATATAATATGTAATATCTCTTTGGAGCGATATTATTTCTTTATAAGTGAGTAGGTTATAAACGTAAAATATTTATGTTTATACAAAATACGTCATATCTTCAAATGAAATAGTTTCAGAGTTAATTCCTTTTCCAAGTTCTGACGTATGGGTTTAATTCGCTTATGAGAAACATGCAGTTCTCTTTGATAAACATTTCATGATTTCTGTATTTACTGCACCAGAAGATATTACAGTCATTAATTATTTTCAAGAACTGTTTACGTTGCTATTCGAATAAATATTCAACTAATTAAAAAAAAATTGTAATTTTGTTTCAAATTTGAAAACAAATAGAACAACAATTATTAAACCGTACAGCAATCTTAGTAACTACGATAATAAAGGTTTAATAAATTTTTACTAATTTTTGAAAGATGTGGTTCAACATACTTACCCTAAGCCATTCTGATATAACAAAAACAATTTAAAATTCATATTTTATGTAATATATTACTAGATACTATTAGTTTTGTGATTATTCATTATAAGTACTATATTTATCTATTATATTTATTTTTTTCAGCGAAACCGACGATGTGAACACGGGCCTGCTAATCGAGGTATGGTCCAAAGGGATGATTTGGGATCGCGCAATGGGGTACCACTGGCTGCCGCTGCCCTCCGTGCCTTACTCAAACGAGGTTAGGAAAATAATTGAAATATTATTATGACATTTTATTTATGGTACATATACATATATATATATATATATATATATATATATTCAATTAAAAAAACATATATTTCAAACTTATAATGCATTCGACATATGGTGGAATGGTACATAAGTCTATCCTGGCTATTATATTTCATCGTTACATATTTTAGATCAGTACATTTTTATGTAAAAAATCGAAAGCAGCGTCTTGTATAAACTACTGTTGTATGCGAATCCTTGTTATACGAAACTAAAGAGGAGTCACGTTTAAAAAAATTAAAAATATCTACATATCATAATTCTATCATAAATTGGTTATTATATTTAAAAATCCAGAAGTAAAACATATTTAATCAACTTAATGATATTTTCTCAGATCAAAATAAGTGCTTTCCATAGTGAGTATTTTTTGGCAAGATATCTTCATTCTCTGAACATTTTCTTGAACTACCTTCAGACCCATGATTTATTTTCCGTACAAAATCTATCATTTTTGATTAATTTGCTTAGTGAAAAAATCTTTCTAAATTTGTCATCTTTTTATATTTTATCCTTTTATTACAAGTTTTAGTATGCTTAAACTTTTTTTATAGAACATACGCGCTTGAATAAAAACTGTCAAACAAGTTCTTATTTTTTATTGTTCAATTAAGTTATTATTTGTACTGGTATCATTGCGTATATTGAGCTATTGTACGGAGATTTTATTAATTTTAAATTAAGTTTAGCTTTAAATTAAAGCTAATTTGCTTTTAAAAGGTTTTGCTAAATGTTTTAGTTAACGCTTTGTAAGGGTTTGCTCAATATTCTAGAACCGCGTTAGAGAGACACCGTGCTCCAAAAGTGTGTTATAAGCGGGATGCCTTCAATTGCAAGTTATAATTGTGTTATAAGCGGGATGTCTTCAATTGGAATTTATGTTTTAATTCACCGTTTTGTATCTATGTATGTAGAAATTATATTAATTTACGAATTGTTTATACACGATTAGATTTAAGAACTAAGTTTTTCTAAATGCAGTTTATTTCAATGTTTATAAGAATAATGATAACTTTTTTTTGAGTTTCATTGAAAATGTTTCAAAGTTTGCATCTCAAAATTTGTTAATTCATTCTTTTAAGTCAAAGTTTTGACAATTGTTCGACAAAAATTGGTATAAAGCTTAAACTGTATAAAATTTGAATTTTTCACGAGACAGTTCTGAGTTTCTTAAGACTCTTAATTAATTGATTGTTTAATAATACTTAAGTAAAATTCATGTGTGTAGTGCAAATTCAATGCGTATGACAAATCTATACATTGTAAGTGTGAAATTAGAATTTTATGTCATAGGTTCTCAAAGAATAATTTAACAATAATAATTACTTTAAACTTACGCTGCCCAATATGATGAGGAAATTTTGATGTCTTCCATATAAATATTTGTCATTTACAAAAAAATATTATTGCATTATTTATAATCTATTTACTCACTTTTGATTAGATTATTGGTAAATATTTATTTCATTTCCCTTGAATAGAATTAATTTCCTCAAGTGATGTTTTACATTGCTTACAATTTGTTATCGGACAATTTATTTTCTATGCATATTGCATCATTGAAACAGCTTTGCAAACAGAGCTATGAATCCTGATTACATGCTATTCAACAGACTCAAGATTTTCAATGTATTTTATTCAGAAATAAAAGGAAAAAAGTACTTGGATACAGAAATTACAAATAAAGAGATAGAAATGAGAATTTCTGAATAAGATTGTATTTGTATTGAATAATGGACGTTCTTAATGTGGATGGAGATTTTTATCTGATCAAAACGCAATATTTTATTAAAGTGCAAATATGTTTATAACAATTTGATAAATCGGTGCAGTATGCTTTATATAAATTATACTCTTAAAATTCATGGTAATATTTCATGAAAGCAATTTTATTATGCTCTTATTTCCTTGGCGGAAAATTAAAGGGAAATTAAATTATGTTCATTATTGTTAAATATAGAATTTTAGAGCAAAACGTGTGTTCTTTGAAATCGTGTACTTAACTTCAAACACAAGACGTAATTTGCATTAGGAACAAAATTATATTTGTAGCTAACTTTTATCCAACTAATTATTGCAATATTTTGCTAATTCATACATCGTAACTAAAATAAAACTTCTCATCAAACATGATGTACTAATTATAATATAAATTAAGTTTTACGACATCAAAAGAATTTTTTAATAATTTTGCAGATAAGAATTCTCAATAATTCATAAGAGCGACAAGTATTCCGGTTTTAATCATTGAAATGAAAATCTAGAATGTGTCTAGAATCCTAGAATGTGTGACCTCTAATACTGAAATCCAATTTACGCCCACATTTGCTTTGACAAAATATGACATGGAATCATTATGAAATATGGATTATAAATGGAAATAGGACTGAAGTAAATTATATACTCACATACCGCAAAATTAGTTTTTATTTTCTGTAAAAGCTAATTTTGCAAATTAACAAAATTTTGATAAATCTGTTAGAAAACTGTCATAAATGTACTAAAATTTTATGGGACAGAACTAAATTAGGTTTCAATTTTTATTAAATATAAATATTCATTATTTTTATTAAAAGGATAATTTAAATTTTTATTTAAATAATATCTATCTGAATCTAATCAACTTCTGAAGCTATAGCTGCAGGCCCTGTTTAACAAGAAACTTAACTTGATTATGATATTTACACAAATTATCAAACTATATTACTATATTACTAGGAATATTGCAACCCGATACGATAATGTATTCGCAATCCAACGTGAAATGTTTTAATTAATTCTCAGCTAATATACATACTATAATGCATTATGCATATTGCATAATCTAGATTCAAAAGGATTTCAAATTAGATATAGCTTTACACGGTTCTGTGCATGATGTTATAATCATTTTGACCCAGTTTATTAATGTTTTGAGTTTTTTGCGATTTAGTTTTGTAAATGACATAAATAGAGATATATTTACGCACGGATTATTTGAATTAAATTCTGTCGACGATTTTAGTTTTTTTTGAGGATTGCATTATAATGTAACATTTTTATTCTATAATTTTGGCCCATAAAAAACTTGACAAAATTCTAAAATAACTAAAGTTTCAATAGCAATAATGCTCTAGTTTATTTCTAGTTAAAAGTGGTATGTATAATTTGACCTCATTTTAAAATCAATATTTTTTTCACCCTAATTCAGCAGAATGCATATTTGTTTAAAATAAGACGAGACTTTTTTACGAACAAAATAAAATCATAAGTTTTAGTTGTTCCAATTTTATTTGCATTCACGTTTTCATAGGTCCTAGTTTATTCCATTGCTGCAAGAAGTCTCAATGCAGTTGCTATATAGTAAATAACTTAACTAGGATTTGTAAATAAGATTTTCGAAATCGCATTTTCATTTTCATAAAGCCATGACTATTTTCACGAACAAAATACTTTCTGTTTTCACTCAATATTCTGATTTTGCCCTGTTTTGTTATAACTTGTGTGGATTTAGAACAAGGTTTGAATACACTTCGCCTTTTAAACTGTCATAAATAACACTCTCATGACACGCACGGATTAAGCTCGCGCCCCTTTGGCTGTGGCTGTGGCTGTTACGCCTTGGCCGGGCGTTCTATTTTTTTGGGAGAGCCTATATTTATTTTTTCTTTGTTACGTAACCATTCATTTATCTTAGTATTTTGTGTTATTAATAAAATATTCTAAATTAATAAAAATATATAGATATAAATAAAACTGAAAGTAAAACTTCTTTAGGCGCGACCAGGGAGTAACACAGCAGATCGCAAATGCGTTACGCCACGAATACTGATTCGTCAAATTGCGGATAAAATTTTTGAAGTAAAACTTCTTTATTAATGATTCGTCATTCAATCTCGATGATATCATTTCTATACGGGTCGATTGTGATTGGTCGTAGTATCATGTGCGTGGCTTCTGTGTATGCGTGACTTTGTACGTGCGTACGCCACCGAAAGCGTGAAGCATACGTATTGTTCATTTTTCGGTGTCTCATGTCATTACATTTTAAGGTTAAATAGTAGCACAAATCTTGAGTTAATAAAAAATGTTTGGATCGGAAGAATATTTTATACCATCCCTCATAAATAATTATAGTGTAAATAATAAACAAATGAAAAATCAGTGTCGTGTAAAAAATGTAAGTTTATTGAAGTAATTTGTATCATTCGAGGTTTTCGAGGTTACTATATACCTTTGAGGTTATTACTGAAATGGAAAATATTTTTATAGGCAAGACAGATACAATAGTTGCTCAAAGCATGAAATTGTAACGCCAGCGAAATAGTCAAAACAAACAAGCAGTCAATGAATGTACGTTAATTTCAATTACATGAAGTTTTTCAAACACAATTATTACATGATGAGTGAAATTGTAAAAACAATATTTTTTTAGGCGTTGTTTTACATAATCCACTGTGTGAACGAATATTATAGAATTTAATAAAATTAATAAAATTAATCAGCAATTACTACATTTATTTAATGAAGATCCAGTCCTAAATGCTAATTACTATAAATTATAATTTATTATTATATTATTAGTGAGTTACCATATTACTTATAAACATTATTCAAAATTGCTGTATGATGTATTTATTTACAATTGAAATGTCATCCTCTGATAATAAAAAAGTTTTACTTCAATCGCGTCTGAACCTTACTTCTTTTTTAGCCGATTTGAATGATTTTTAAAGCACTCGATTCCTATTAATAAAAAGACGTGCTTATTAGTTTTTGGCTGAAGAATTATTCTTCTGTACAATCACTTGGTTTAATGTAAATTTATTTTTTATGAAAAAATACTAGTAATTAACGACGACAGTGGTGATATTCATAATTAATAATTTTTTTATTATAGACAATTTATTTTTTTTATTCTTGATTTACTCTATTTTGTATAACATAACGTTTACATGTATTCTCGTGACATAACACTTTTATGAATGTTTAATAAATATAAAACACTTTTTCCCTTTATTTTCCGTCTATAATTTGTCTTTTTTGTGCCTAAATAAAACAAAGCGTGAGAACCATAAATCATCAACATTTATGGGAACAGTGCGTGATGTGAAATTATGAAAAAATGATTTACATACAAAAGTCAAGAATTTATTGCGCTTTGTATATGGTAATCGATTGTCAAGGGTTTGCAATTGTTTGAATTAGTACAACATTGAACTATTAGTTAATTATTAACATGTTTATTGATAAGCTTATCACTTTCCACATTATATATTTACTATTCTTGAGTTTGATTTCTTAAATATATTTTTTTACCATAAGTCAAATAGTAGTATTCATTTTTTATATTCTGGAACTTTGTTGTAAATTGATAAAGTTTTGTTAAAAATGAAAAGGAGTTTAACTACTTTCCAATAAATCACGTTTATACAATTTGAATTTAAGCGCGCACTATGGATCGATCACATTAAAATGTAGTTTGACAAAGCTTGGTGATTCTCTTATCAAGAGAAAATGGCCAAAAGATCCAACCATCTAATTAATGTCATTAAGATCTCTGAATACAATGTTAATACGACACCTAGGCTCGTAGATAGTTGTATGCATATTGAGTGGTCCTTAATATGGACATTTTCGAATTTCCTTGCTCCCAAGTGCTCAAATGATTCCAAATTGATAAAAAAACAGTTCTCTGAAAGTTTTAGCTCTTAATATTAACTTTTAGATAGTACGCATTTCAATCAAACTTCGTATGGAAATAACATGGAAAAAATTTTAAAATTAAAAAAATTTTTTTATGTATAACTTAGCGACAAATGTAAAGTAAAAATTCGCCTCATTTTTTATTGAAAATTCGACGCTCTGCAAAATTCTTGAGAATTTTTTCTTGCTATTTCCATACATAACTGATTGAATTGCGCTCTATCTAAACGTTAATAATATTAAGAGCTAAAACTTTCAGAGAATTGTTTTTTATCAATTTGGAACCATTTGAGCCCTTGGGAGCAAGGAAATTCGAAAATGACCATTGTAAGGACCACCCTAATGTATATTTTTGGTGATCTAATATTTAATTTAAACATTTGTTTTTTATCAGGACGGTGCGGGGCAGTGGATATCTCTGGAAGCGGAGCTGGTGATGCGAGACGGTGAGGTGGTCGGCACAAAGGGCGCCACAGGGCACTCGCTTCTTGTCGACTGCCGATTCGAACTACCTTTCGGTAAGATAAATTTTAAATTTATTTATTACATATTCAACATATTTTTGCAATGCAAAAGTTAGTCAAATCATATTGTATGAGCTAAGTAAACTATTGTCGCCATATGAAGTTGTCACAGGTGACCGTGTTCAACATATATCACTAAATTGTCACTGCTGTTAATGGAACGTTAATAGCAGTCTTATTATTTATGTGTATATGCATTGATTATACGGATATTTCGTTTATAAAACTTACACGTACACATACGTTAATAAAATTATAAGATATACAAGATACAAGTCTTTTAAAGCGAGATGTCGAATAAATAAGTCGTCTGTCTACTAAACCATGAATACAAATCCTAGAGCACAAAAGCGCTATATTACTTTTCTTTATTATACTATTGTGTTAGTACTTTGTTTATAATACATCAATTGTTTTTATTTTCATGCTTGTATTAAATAATATAACTAATGTTTCTTGGAATTCAGGAAAACAAAGCTAAGACGTTAACATTGCATATTCAGATATTCATTAGAGATTTGTTTTTGTTGATCGTAAAGTATGCTGTTTTTCCTATCCTCGGAATTGCTCCAATTTATCCAACTGAAAATAAACGATGATTCGTTGTTGTTTTAAAACTACATGCTATTCACCATGATTACCTGCGCAATTTCATAATAAGATTGAAATTGTAATTGGATAAAACTACAGTGATTGCATACAAAACATTCCTTGTTACCAATATGAATCTCTTTTACTACGAGTACAAGTTTAAACTTGTTGTACATAACTAAATATTTGTTGGCGTTTCCACAAATAATAATTTATTGCCATTTTTACAATAAAATTATAGTTAATAATAATACATTGAAAAATTAATATTATGACCATTATATCTCGTAATCGTCTTGAAATCACGTATGCACAACATATACATTCTTATATGCATCAATAAATTTTTTTTTTTCATCATAAATTCAAATTAAAAACAAATTAAAACAAATCAGCATACTAATATTGATCTTTGGTTTTTATGTTTATGTATTCAATTATACATTTATAATTTTACATTACATTGCATATAATTTACAATATATTATAAAAATAATAACTAAAATTTTCATGCTTCCTTTTAATTTCTTCTTGTCTTTTCAACCTTAAGTTCCTTTCAATTATTGTGTTTTCAATTATTGTGTGGAGCCAAACAAAAGTATTAAATATATATTTTGGTTATTTTTAAAATCAAATTTTAATAATTTGTTATTATCTTCTATAGATTCCTTGCTGATATTTTCCCATTTCTCTCTTAACCAATCCCATACCTTCTTTTTTTGTCCACATTCAGTTATGTAGTGGTTAATATTATCTTCCTTCATATATTTTAAACACATTACCTACCGAGTCAGACAATTTAATTTTATATAACTTATTTTTCATATTTATGCATTAATTTACAATTTTATAATTCAAACTTTGCCAGTCTGTTGGAATATTTTTATTCCTCACATTTTTCCAAATATTTTCCAAATTGAACTCAGACCTGTCTTCTATTATTTTAGGAATATGTTCTATAATTAATGTATTATATTTTTTTGTCGCTATTTCTCCATCAACCCTTGTTTTATACATTTCAGTAAGTTTTCTACTATTATCATCAACTATCAATATCAATTACTGATAACTAATAATATCAATAGATGCATTTTAGATATTGTAAATATATTTTAGCATTAAGTTATAATTCTAATTAATTTATAACTATATTCTATTTATTAACAAATACATAAATAACATTACACATAAAAAAATTAAGATACCTTAGTTAACAACTTGGGAGATCACTTAACAATTGAACATAACATTGATTACTTACAATTGATTTACCAAAATATGTAGTGACAAAAATTTTGAATTGGTTCAATAAATAGTTTTTGAGATATGCGCGATTACTTAACAATTTAACTTGTCGGGCATGGGAGATTTTGGACCAACGCACTCTGACCTGAAACTAGTCTAGTTTTAGGTTGCGAGCACTTTTGGCCGAACGAATATTTGAACAGATGCACCATGCTATCTTCTCAAAAGCGGATCATGCGAATTCAATGAAATTTGACACACATTGTTATTATACATTACCGAGATTGTGACAGAAATTTTGAATTGGTTCATACGATAGTTTTCGAGATATGCAAAATTTCACTGTGACCTGAAACTAGCTTGGTTTGAGGTTAGGAGCACGTTTGGCCTAGGTGCACCATGGTATCTTCTCAAAAGCGGATCATGCGAATTTAATGAAACTTGGCACACATTGTTATTATACTTTACCAAGATTGTGACAAAATTTTTAAATTGGTTCATACGGTAGTTTTCGATATATGCGAGATCACACTCTGACCTGAACATAACAAATAAAATTAGCATATTCATTCATATTTGTACATTTACAAATACACACTAAGTGGCTCAATATTTAAAAAAATGTATACATTACTTAATAACGTACATCATTCAACATTCAATATTTCTGCAAAAACTAGTCAGTCCTAAGTTTGCAATAAAAATCTTATATTCCAAATTGTTAGAGAATTTGTATATGTGGGATTTGGCATAATTCTTATTGTTATAAAATTCTCCTGTGAATTGTTCCCAATAAACATTATAATATTACACACGATCAGGTCCTTACGATCCGCCAACAGGATGGCGAAGCATCCTTGCTGAGAAGAATATAAGGAAAAATTCTCATTTAGGTATTCAAGATCTAGATTTGAATGTCCAAATTCACTATAATTGAAAAAAATATATAAATATTAAAATTTAACATATGAATATTCAATCACTAAAAGCTAATTGGACCAATGTATGACGATGACGTCTGACTTGCATCCCGTTTTTTGGATTATGAATTTTATAGCATTCAAAAATTTATAAAAATATCATTTTTCAAGGATAAAAGATAATTTCAAATTTTAATTTTATATTATTATAGTGAATTTTGGCATTCATAATTTTATTTTTAGCACATTTTTTATTCTTCAAGGATAGAAACTTTTCAATGGATTTCACAAGGACACTTCCCAGCAAATAAATACTTTATCTAATGATACTCTAATTTTATACACTTACATTTCAGTCTTCAAGCAGGCACGCATGCTACTATTTTTTATATATAACTACCTGGAATTTTACTAAATCTGAGTGTTGTAATATGTGTTTTATGTAGTTTATTTCAATTCTTTTCCATTTTTTTTAAGTTAGTTATGTCATCTAAATAGTGCTCTATTTAGCATAGGTGGACTATCAGTGTTCCATCAATCATGTTAAACACATAATATTGTTATTGAGAATTTTGCAGAAATGATACAACGTTTTTACACCACACCGATTATTTACTTTAAATTAAATTTTTTAAAACACATTTGGCTTTAAAATACAATCGGTGAATTATTGAATTCAACATATGATTTTCTATATATAATAACATTAATATCATATAACAAAATTATGCTTTTAGTGTTAATACTTCACGATAGTACACCTTTTTTCTGAACCATCTTTACTTCGGATTTCTCGATATAATATGTTGATCTCTATATATAGTACGTATTATTAAATTTATATTATTACTCCACCGTAATATTTTATATATCGAATCGGCTTTACTTTCCGAAGTATTCAAGTGGCGCGTAAATCATAAAGACTTATGGTACAGAGAAATGTATACTTTTTCGAACGATCATGATGCCATGAACTTGTCAAAAAACGTCTAGACATTTCACAAAAGAAATGTAGAGACCTAAGTATTATTATAGAATTCAATTTACTAAAAATTACATGTCGATCAATATTGAACTTGACAGTATTTAATCACTTTCTTCACTTCGGCGTGCGAATACTTGAAAACTTGTTGTTTAATTTTGTGACATTTCATTGATTGAAAAAAGTCATATCAATATAAATACATACATGGACATATATATATATATAAATATATATATATATATATATATATATATATATATATATATATATATTACAAGCATGATTAAAATAGTATTAACATCGATATTCAAATTTTCAAGAGAATTTTCTCCAATCGTTTGAATAAATGTTGAAAAACTTAAAACAATCATTCTGTTTATCTTAATTTTAGGAGCTTTTAAGACTATTTAAAATTTAAACATATTGTTAGATAAGTAAATGCATCTGTGAAAATAGTACAAGAATTTTAACTAATATGATTGAAAATTGCATCGAAACTAATACAGTAGACATAACAAATATAAATTTGACGTCGCTTTGATGAAATTTTTTTTGAAAAGTTTTTTGGTAATACTTATATTAAGAACAAAATTGAACTAAAACTGTAGTATATAAATTTAAATACGTATTAGTAAGAAACAAATGCATTTGTATGAATATTAAAAGTATCAATTTTAACTCGTAGTATAAGGATCAATTGTACTCTCACATGCTTAGCTTCATATTTTATAAAATGTATTTTTTTAAAACTTTTTTTATAATGTATTTTTTATAATGTATGCATATATTTAGTACCAATCAAAATATACATTATTTTATAAAACAATGTGCTGGACTGGATTTTAAACTTTTAGTGAGTTTATCTCTAATGAGATCTTTTTCGTAACATTTTACTTTAGATGGTATGGCAATTTTTTTTTTATCTTTGAGTAGGAGGTTCCTCACTCAATTTGTTTAAATATTTGTTTGGATGAAAAAGCTGTAGCTGAAAACAAACTGACGAAAGATTGATTAATTTGTATTGATTGATTAATTCGTATTTGTATTGATTAAAGTGTTATGAAAATAAATAAGCATATAAAAATTAATTTTCGGGTTTCGAAAACTACTTTATACTTTCTGTAATAAGCCAGGCACTAAATCCATAATATCTTCACTGTTCAATCTTTGTAATCATTTATTAACATCTACATTGTGTTCCATAACAATTTTGATACAACATATCCCATTACCTCCAATCATGACTATATGAAACAGCATTTGTCTGAATCCTGATATTTCATTCTACAATCCACAATTTTCTCTGTTAGGCAAAGGAATGATTACCGGCGCGACTTTCATAAAAAGCAATCGCCGCTATCTCCTGGGCACATTACTGGCTGTGATATATCTGTACGATATTTCAAATTAGCGGCATGCTTATATAATATATTATGTGCTCGATTTTATACACGCGAACATAATATCTCAATTTCATGTGACGTGTAATTTAACGATATTGTTCCGATGTATTTACTGTGGAAGTACTACACTGTACAAGTTTTTATAGATGATGGATGCACGTGAACTCTATTGCAATGTCAGTTTTGAAGTTTAAAAATAGTTTAATCGATCAGGCAGTGATTTGTGACAATGTTTATGTGTCTCTCAGGCGATAATAAGGATAATTTTGTGAAATTCAATTTTGTTTGGATATGTTTTCCGGGATAAAGAGAATTATGGCTCTATATATTGATAAAAGAAAAATGTATTCATTGAAATCTATCAAATAAATATTTAATATAAATAATTTTTACATATTTAGATCATATTAATAAACTAATACGAGTATATTCATGAATCATGATGTTGTATGTGTATATGAATTTTATATACGTTTAGCATTACACGAAATAATAATCTCAACTAATTAGTAAAAATCTCAAGTAAATTTCTGTACGTGTTAATAGATTTAGGAAAGTCAGGTATGACAATATTTTCTTTCGAATTATTATGTACATACTTGATATAATTTACATACTTGAGCTAAGTCATCAATAAAATAGAATAGAATAGAATAGAATAAAATAGAAAACTTCTTTAGGCTCGACTAGGGTGTAAATCCGTACTGCAACTAGGGTGTAAATTCGTAACTGCAACGAAAGTGCGTTACGGCCGCGTCAAGTGCCAAGGATTCGTCATTCGCTCTCGATGAAATCATTTCTATACGGGTCGATTGTGATTAGCCGTCGTGTATGTGATGAGAGATCTGTCGTTGTATGCGTACCGGCATCAACGTTGTATGCGTGCCGATATCAACGTTGTATGCGTACCGATATCAACAAGGAAATCGGCATAGATAAATAAACATTTTAAAGTTATATCGTACTTAAAATCTTGATTTAATAAAAATGCCTATATCAGAAGAATTTTACCCTGTTCCTTGAAAATAATAAATTTTTTGCCGTAAACAATACGTAAATTTATTGATTAGGAATTATTTCTATATTATTCGTAGATTCTATAAATCTTTGAAGTTATGAAAATGGAAAATGTTTGTTAGGCAAGACAGATATTACGATGTTCAAATAATAAGATTATATCGTCTCTCGTTATCGTATAGCGAAAAAGTAAAAAAAATACAAGCAGTCATTGAATATATGTTAATTTTAATTACATGAAGTTCTTCAAACACAATTACATGATGAGTGAAGCTGCGAAAACAACATTTGTTTAGGCGTTGTTTAACATAATCCACTATGTACGAATATTATAGAATTTATTAATCAGCAATTACTTCATTTCTTTAAAGAAGATTCAAGTCCTTAATGCTAATTATAATGACGTATTTGAAGTATGACTTTAATTGCATTAATTCTTTTAAATATTATACATATTTTCAATGCTATTATAAATATATAATTTATAATTTATCATTGTGTATAATTCATTGTTACATAAATGTCATATTGTATAGTAACAAATAAATTTTACTTCAATCTCGTGTGAACCTTATGCGCACTCTTTCTTGACGTTTGTGCATTTTCTAGTATAGGTTTTATATCCAAAACGTCTGACCACACAGAAAATACATACGATTTTGAATGTTTTTAATATCAATTTATATGAACAAAGAACACGTTGTCATGACAACGGTATGTTACATTTCTATTTTATCGGAGAATTAACCATTCTGCTGGCACCTTGGTATAAGAAATTACCTACTGTAAATATTATTACAAGTAGCTCAAATTTATAAGCTAACATTTCTGAGTAAATAAATTTCACAATCAATAAAGACGAATTTATTTAAGCTTTTCTTCACCGAAACCATTATTTAACCTAGTTCGAGATGAGACCTGCATTACGTGCAAATGGCACTCGGAACATAATGGAAACTTTATGCGGGCAGCGATGCCCGCTTTAAGGTACTAGGTAGTAGTACTTCTACAAATTCAATCCCCGAAAGGTTTATCACATCTGCACTCATGATAAACTTCTGTTCTCTGGTTGGCATTCAATGCATGTAATACTACAATGGATTGTTGCACGAAATGTGTTATGAATATACGTTTATTTATACCCACATGCGGTAAAGCTTTGTGAGATATGATATGTGCATTCAGAGCCATACGAATGCAGGTTTTTGCTTTTACAATGTATGAGGAGATAGAAAATTTATTGGATGTTGTGCAGTTTTTGAATGTAGAATAATATATTTATATGTGTATGTAGGAATATTACATGTGTTTTGGATGTAAAATATTAATCATAATAAAATTTTGTTATGCTAAGTTTTTTGTATTTTGATCTAATTTGCTCTGATTGACGAATATACTCGTCATGGATAAGTAGCTGAATTTTGTGTATTTTGTGTAACACAATGACCATTTGCTATATTGAAATTTTGAAAAAAAAACAAAGAGATATATTTAGTTTAGATCATTTTATGGATATAACTGTGTAACATAAATAGTTGTAATTTCCTTAAAGGCTATTTGCATTAACGTCCTAAAGCTTGGAAATTATATAAATACTTAATGAACCAGAATTAAGATTTAGTTACTCATTTTTTAACCTTTAAAGATTAAACATTTTTTACTACCTATCTCATATATTTAATCCAGAATAATTAGCAATCAGTACGTTTTTAAATGGTAGAATTTTTTTACCATATCCTTGAGACATTCTGATTAAATATCAATTTATAGCCAATTTCTTTTATGACAGACGTATCAATTATGTGATCAGTATTCTTTTAGTACTTTTCACGCAAAAATAATTATTTCTGTCTGATGATTCTGTATGACAATAATTGGTTTAAATTGGCACTACTCTTTGTAAAAAAAAGATCGAAAGTAAAGATACTTGTTCTGACTTTTTGTAAAAATCATTATGTTGATTGCACTTTGTACTAACTAATATATCATCGAAGAAAATTAGAAATTGTAAGACCTTTAATTGATTTTAGAATCATTTTCTTATTATTATTACTATTTCAATACTGAAATTAGACAGGAGCATACTCTACTAATAAAATTATTTGTTACATTAACTTTAGTTAAATTTTACAGTTTTTTCTGTAACAATATGAGAAGAACATGCTGTGAAAACATTCTTTAGAAACTAATTACAATTTTAATATCTTAGTATTTTGTATCTAAAAATAGTTTTTGAATCAATAATAAAATTTATATAATAATGATATATAATATATTTAGCATGAACGCAAGATATTTAAAATATTTACTCAAATTTTACACATAACTGATCATACATTTATAAAACATTTCTTATATGAAATAATATGTGCGACTTTGAGTGACTTTTATTTCTCTATTAGCAAAGATTTTATTTTTGTGATTATATTGGTAAAATTAAATTTTTCTATCAACTTACTTTTACAAAAAAATGAATTCAATCAGTTGTATTTAAATGCACTTATATAATTTTCATCTACAGTTATGTAAAACACTATTTAAAAATCTATGTATATATTTAGTAACAATTATAGAGATAACGAGTGCTCAACTGATGCATTTATTATGATATTAATAGCATTTAAAATAATTCAGATATATCTGCATTACCTGAATGATAAATATCCTTGAACCATATGTTAGTTAATTGTTTCATATAACTAAATTCTGGTTTGTAGATTTGTAGACTGAATCCAATTTTTATACTTTTTAGTCACTCTACTATTGCTTGCTTATAACTGCATACAAAATGAAATACTTATCTTATCACATCTTTATCACAACTATTGCAAATTAATTTTTCTCCTATTTTCTTCCAGGACCTCTACTAATTTCTCTGCGGAATCTTTCTTGACACATCCTATCTTTTTAAACAATCTCGATATTGTGTTGTACCTACAATCTATATTTTTCTACAGGGCACAAAGTGATATTTTATTATGTGTGCTATCGTTTGATGTTTCGTTATTCGATATTGGAATATAAAGCTAATATTTGTTTCTGTTTTCTTGATTCAGATCTAGAAAATACTGAGGGAGCAGATCTTCCAAAGGAACTTGAGATGTTGAATAACATCATGGACCAGGAGGCAAGGGCGGAGCAGGCGCGGAGGCAATTCAATATTATGGTCATTGTGAGTTTTCAAATTATAAAAAAAATATTAATTTACTTACTTCTACATTTAGTAAAACATTTTTAGTTAAAGATAGAAGTTATAAAATTTCAACATTATAATTTATTATTATAGGAACTCTTATAACAATGGTTTGTAAAATATTATGTATTTCAATTTTAAGCTGGTTATTCTGAAGACAGTGATTATACATCTGATCTGAACTATCCTGTCGGGCAACATCCAAACTCTTCCGCCTCGCAATTTAGATCAGCTGCACATCAGATGCACACCCCGCAGGTAATTATGCATTATATATATATATATATATATATATATATATATATATACTAGATGACTCCACAATTCAAAAGTTCCTAATTTTTTAATCTCCCATCATATACTTTTTAATATCCTATTTCATGTCCTGCCTTTGTGATTCATTTATGTTCTTAGCATAAGCAGTATACGAAATTTAGCAAAAAAATAGTATCTACGGTAAAAGAACAATATCACACTTGTTTTTACCATACAACGTAATTGCTTCAATAATTTAGTCTAAAATTTGTATAATCTCGTACGATATATTAGTTACTTTTTAGCAATTATAATTTCTAAAGTACATTTAGCTTACTAATAATTTAATGAACACAATTGTTTATGTTCAAATCTTAGGTGAATTAATTTGTAAGATCTTGTTCATATAAGCACTCTCTTCAATCTAATGATATCAACTTCCTAATATTCCATATCTAATGCCAAACAAATGAATGATTGATACATGAAACAAAATTCTAAATAATTTCGTCAATAAGTAGAAATATTCGTTTGTATTTAAATAATTTAGTAAAGTAAACCAAAATACGACATGCATATGTTTAAAAAAATAATGTATATAAAATTTTGGACTTCTTGCGTTATTTATTAAACTGAATTATATAATTTCATTTGCCAAATATTTACTATTGATAGTATCTTTTATTATTTAATTTTTGACACATCTCAACTCCTATTCGGCAATAATAATATAGACGTTACATTTTTCTTGCATATTAAATTCTAATATTATAGGCTTATTGTTTGAGCTTCAAACAATATTCACTTCAAATTCAAATTTTAAGTGAAATCACATTTTTAACAAATGACAGTTCAAATATTTTCAATATCACACAATGACAGGTGCTTTTTTGTAATTTATGTCATTTATTTCTACAATATGTATGTGTATGTATGTGTATGTATTTATGTACTTATATGTGAATGTGCATATATGCGAATGTATGTATATGTATGCGTATTATATGAGTATATATGTATGTCTATCTGTATGTAAGTAGATGTGTATGTATGTGTATATGTATGTATATATATATATATATTTATATATATATATATATGTGTATATATATGTGTATATATGTATAAAGATATAAATTATACAAGTTATTAATTAGCAAACAATATTATAAAACTGTATAAAGCCGATTGGCGTATAAATAAATAAATAAATAAATAAATATTACTTTAGTTTTATCGTTCATTAATTAAAAATTTTCTTTGACAAACTCTGAAAAGAATTATCAGAATCCGAATAACCGTTTAGAAAATGTATCAAATCATACACGCGTACAGAAGAATTTCATATATTATATTATATAATATTCATTATATATTATATATTATTAAGAAATAATATTAAAATTAAATAAATATTATATAATATCAAGATTGCATTGTGTTAATAATAATTATAGTGTGAAGGTAACAAAAACATAGTGTGAATAAATAGGCTATGAAGTTAGAATTAGTGACGTTCATGTGTTTATTAATAATAATAATAATTATAATTTTATTAAATAAACACATTTTAGTTAAATAAACTGTTGAATATAGACATACGTTATTGCATTTTACTTTGAATCTAAAGAAACAATCTAGCTGTACAAATGTTCCGACATATTTGAAATTAAAATCAGTTTTTTTAGCGAGTTAGATAGTTATTTAGATAGTTAGTAAGTGCAATACTTAGGTCCTCCATAAATATTACTTCGATCTTCCTATGTAAAACTATTATTTCCAATATAAATAATCTTAATCATTGGCAATCAAGAAATAAAATATAAATTCAATCTAAAATTAAATAATTATGGCTTACTAACAAATACATTTTGAAATGTCGATGTTCTATTATGAATGTTATTAATTCTCCAAATACTACAAAAGATCTTTATCAAATGCATAAAGTGGTTTTGATACAATTACCTTCAAATGTCAAATAATATCACAAATGGACTGAAATGAATTATTGAATGTGATGTGCATCTAATTGAATAGCTAGTAATTACTCTTCGGCAATGCAATTACAGAACCCGCACTTCCAATTTCCACTCAGTCACCTAATGGAAAATATGGCTAACAATAGCTATTTTGCCACAATCATATATATATATATATATATATATATATATATATATATATACTAGCTGACCCGACAGACGTCCTGTACCCGTGTCTACAATTTCAAAGTTCTTTTTTTTAATAACCTATACTTATATTTACCATATAGTTAAGAATTAATATTTTTTTACACTACAGTCAATACTGAAGTTTATATGCATCCTTATGGGTGATCTTAAATATAGAACTGCTTTAAATAAAATGATGAGTCTCAGAACTCACACTTTACTCTTTAAATATACTGTGAAATTCAAATAAGCCACGTAAAACCATCAAACAAACAAATATTGAAATATGTTTGCACTTTTAACCTTGAAAGTAAGATGAACCTAATTCATACAAAATTCATATTCATACAAAATTTCATACAAATTGAAGCACAGTAAAAAAAATCAGACCCAAACGCTCCATTCCACGAGTAGATATTCCGTATTCAGACAAAACTAAAAAAATGTGAAACTTCTATATATTCTTTTCAATAATTTTTTTATCGTAATTAAGTAAAGTAAGGCAAAATACGACTGCATTAGTTAAAAAATAATAATCTGTCAAATTAAATTATATAGGGTATATTCACTAACAGCCGTCAGACGCAGACGCAGACTCTTCATTTTTCAAATACACAATGTATTGTATATTATTTTAATTTTTGGTACATCTCAGCTACTTTTTGGCAATGATAATGTAGACATTGTATGTTTCTTATTCATAATCATGAATTTATAATATTCTAATATTATCTTAGCTCATAAGTGAATTAAAATAATTGGCAAATGACAGTCTTCATTTGTGTTAAAATGATAAGCGGTTTTTGTAAGTTTTTCTAATCATTTCTACAATCTAACTATATTTCTATAATTCAGATAATCCTAAAAAAAATCCTTAACAAACTTCAGAACGATTTATCAAAATCCGAATAATCGTTTAGGAGGATTATTCTTTCATACACCATTTCAGAAGAATTTTATATAAAAGACAATGGAAAACATAAGAAAATCATTTTCCATCGATTGCTGTTTTAACTTTGTTTAAAGTTACCAACAGATCAAATAATGAATTCAAAAGCTTTGATATGTGACAAGTCAATAATTTCTCATCCAAATTTTTTTTGCAATTAAAGCATTCAGCTGCAAGCCTGTAATTATTGTTTAATGATATTTTTTATTTTGCATTATTTCTATTAATTATGAAGGTGACAACTAAGTAAATGCACCTTTTAACCTTAGATGGCATCAAGTGAGTTTTTAGGTTTGCTGATGTAGTTCAAATGTTAAAAAAACGTTTATTTTTTTATTGAATAGTTTGAAATTCAGATGTCAATCAATAACAAAAATTACATTGAATTTATTCATATCTAAAAAAAACTTATTTATTTACTTTCTAGTTTCAATTGCTTTTCTTTTCTTTTTCATAATTTTCTACATCAACTATTTTTTCTCTTACTTCTTTTTTATAGTATAACATATAGGCATATAATGATAAAAAGTTTCTAATAAAAAATAAAACATTACATTTGAATATAATGTAAATGTTTTGTTATTTATTTTCATAAATTTTTGGATTTTTTAAAATTTAAAAACATGTATTTTATTAGATGAGTTGAATTACAGTACATAATTAAAATATATGAGTTTATTGCCCAAGGGTATAATACTTTAACAATGTTACTTACATATTGCTATACATTTTATCTTAATCATCAATATATATAATATATGGTCAAAAAAGGCTAAAATATCAACAATTTCCGAAAAAAGAGCACATTTCATTGATTTCGAAAGTTATTAAATATGATAAATCTCTTACAAAGAAAAATTACAGAACGTGGTGTTGTTTTTAAATTTGCATATCATACAGAATTTTGAGAACATTTATGCAAATAACACGATGCAATAGTTAGTTAGAACAACTTTCTTAGTGAAGCATAAATAATTAAAATCGTGCAAGAAATTCTAAATAAAGTAAAATTATTATTTTGTTTGAGATTTCTTCAAATGCATGCACATCTCATTTTAGTTTACAAGAAATACTGGTGAACTTGTTGGACATTCTGACAAGTAGTTCATTTTGTAAAAGCTATCTCATTGTTTAAAACATAGTTAGATGTATAGTTGTATTTATTCAGAAGTTTTCTTTAATCTTCTACATAAAACTGTTTGAGCTGCTTTGTTACTCGGTCGGAAAATTCCACTTGATTTATGGATCAACGTATTACAAAAGTTGCATAAAATGCAGGGTACTTTGTTATTTAAAAAAGAGAGTATAAGTGTATAAGTTTACTTTGTTAGAATCATTGAATGCATTTCAATAATATTTATGCTAATGCTTTAAATTTTACTTTATAATGTAGAATGTGGTAGCATAATTCTTGAAGAAGGGATTTTCTTGATTGTATTAAAATATAAAGTTTTATCGCAAATGCACTTTTATCGTAAGTACCTGCCTGATTGTTTTATGAAAATATATTAATCTTTGGTATCGAATTTAACCAGTGAACTGTGAAGCTCTTTTCGAACATTTGGCAATGTTTTGTGTCATCTATATCGAGCTCGTGACGTGTATATTCGTTAATCACAGAGAAAAAATAAGTTTATTTTATGAAATTAAAAAATGTTACTAATACGTTTTAATTTTTTGTTAGCATAAATCTATATTATATATGCATTGAATGCAATGGATTAAATTCAATGAAATATACATTATATATGTAAATTTAAAAAAAATAAGAAATGTTTTTGGTGAAAAGCATAAACTATTTCCAAAGTTATAGTAGAAAACATTATTTAAATATCTCAAAATATTTCTTGTTGATTAAGTATATTATTTTCACACTTGCCATTTATAACTACTTATCTATTGAACGTTAAGCCTCAAAATATGCTAAACAACGTTTCTAAATATATATTTTATTTAAAAAAAATACTCTAACAAGCAAATGGTCACTGTTTTAGTCGCATGATAAATATACTCGCCACCACTCTATGACAAGTATATTCGTCAATTACAGTTAACTTGTTAAAAAAGAAATTGTATTAACCATAAAGCAGTATTTTGTCTGTAAGAATTTCTATTTTATATTTGAAACAAGAAATTGAAGCTTTATCGTAAAATGATTTATTGGTTGAGAACCTGATTTGTAAAATTAATAATAAATCTTAAGAATATTTTAGAAAGACCAGATAACACTATAAAATAATTCTGAATTTCAAGTTGACAATGCTTAAGATTATTATACTTTTGATAAGAATTTATTAATCAAATTGAAAACTTTTATATGACATCTTAATATACGTGTACATTTTTTCTGTTCGTTTATTGAAATAAATCCTTTTACATTATTAATTATAAAATATATTAAAAATATTATTTTAAGCTTACACTAATATTAAAAATTAATTTTATTAAATTTGTTTTATATTATCAGCTGAAATCCCATGCACTAGCAAATTAAAGAGAAAACTAAAATGATGCAATTTTGAGCAATATATTTTTGATCACTAATTATGGCACAGAAATTATGATGAGTGCCTATTGAAAATAGTGAAAACTGCTAATGATCATAAAATTAGGCCAATAATGTAATTGACATCAATAACCATATTATATATATGATATAGTTATTATTTAAGAATAATGTCTAAATATTGTTTAACAGAAATATGCGTTTTAATTTAATACTACATATCAAAATTATGAATAAACTTAAATAAAGAACATCTGCCTATGACTGCACATACTTTTGTTTTAACATAACTCAAACTGACATTCATAAAATGAATTTAAAAATCTCAATTTTTTTCTAATTGAGGCTTGAGAATACATTTTTACTTCTTTTATTATATTGGTGATTGAAGTAATTCAGATTTTTTTAACTTCTTTTGGTGAATTTATCTTTACATTTATTACAAAAACTTTATTATTGTATTTTATCTTTTTCACAGCGTTCTTTGGAAACATCTCGAGAAAACTCGTATGAAAGGGATGATGGTCCACCAACCCATCAGCCTTCTCATGGCCCATATTCGCAGCATCTCACCCCTGGAAATCATTACTCTCATCATAGACAGGTAATTGAAAATTTAATTTTTTACTATTTTAAATGATATAAATAAATACAATCACGCAAAATTTATATTGAATTTATCTGAAATATTTCTAATATTGTTTTACACATATACTGAGGAGAGCTTTAACTATTACATTGTTCATGTTGAATTTTCTACAATTTATTTACAGTTTATTAGCCTTAGTAGTTATACTTTGAATAAACATATCACATAGACTTCTAACCTTACAGTACATGAATGTCTACGCAATCTTTAATCATTTTCAACAAATAGATTTTCTCAAAATATATTTTCTTAAGGTATTCTTCAACTGGGCATTATATCAACATCGGAGCTTGATAATACTTACCTTCAGTGCAAATAAAATATTTACAGAACGATTCTTTCACCACAGAGTCTTCCACTGATTTTATTACAGACTATTGACTAGTCTGAGCCTCCTTAATTAAATGAATGAACGACTTGGTTTTCTCTGATCATACATGATTAATCCGTCTGAGCTTTTTTGCAATTAGTAAAAAAAATCACACATGTGTGAATGAGGACTTTCACATAAATTTAGTTATACACAATTATACCTAAAGAAGTATATTGATTTATTTGTATGACAGACAAATTCAACTATTAAATATTATTTTATAGACCTTGTGCATCAGTAGATGTTCAATTAGTATATTAAAAATGTGCTTTGAATGCATTTGATATTTATCGTCCTCGAGTAAATGCCCTTCTTTGGTATAAAATGAATTATTTATTACATTTATTATAGGAATATTTTCTAACAATAAAAGGTATTGATTCCCAACTGATAAATATCAAATATAATAGAAGCATTTTTTCGTATGAATATTATCATGTGTTTCTAATAATTTAACGATCTATATACGAATTAAGAGAAAAATTTATTATTGGTGCTTATAATTGTTATATATTACATAAATTTTTTTAATAATAATTTATAATTTAATGTGTATAACTAATTTATTTCCTTTATTGTGATGCTTGTTCTATCTCCTACATAAGTACTTATATGCCAAAATCAAATAAAAAGTACTCCACATTCCACAAAACAAATAAAAAGTTTAAAAACTGGCTTCACTGTCAAAACTTTTATACCATGTTTTCGAACTTGGTTTTATTGATTTTGAATTAAATTGTTTTCCGAAGAAAATTTCTTAAGTGGAGATGTAAGCCTCCAGTTGCTTCTTGAGGATAATGATTTAATACTTATCTGTAAAATCTTGAAATACCAAAACAAAATTTATCAATTTAGTATAGAAAGTGCGATGATTCTTTGAATATATATTATATGAAATATAATTTTTATACGTATTAGATATTATACAAAATACTTATGAATTAATATCGAATTTTTGCCTTAACAATATATAATTTAAATCAATATTTATAATAATTTATGACTTTTATTCCAAATTCGAATTAAAATTGCTTACTCATACTGAATACGATTTAATTGTTGCCCAATTTGAATCTAAAGGTATTCTAATGTATGCTCTAAATTATTATATACATTATAATTATTTTAATAATGAATAATTAATTTTGGCACACATCATTGGGTTAATTTAAACCGCCAATTATACTAATTTATGGCTTTTATTTAGAGTTATTTTTACTTCCTCTGATAAGTCATTTAGTCGTTTTCCATTCAAATCTATATTTGAATATATAACACGTAAAACAAAATATTAAATATTATTACAGGTAATTGGAAAACTGAATATTTATTCATAGTACCTGTACATTGAGTTAATTTAAACCTTCAATTATATTAATTGTGGGTTAAAGTTATTTAGAAGCTGGTCATTTAGTTATTTTCCATTAAAACTTATATTTGAATGTGTAGTCATGAAGCAAAATGCTTAATATTAATATAGAAATTTGTGAAACTGAATAATTTATTATGGTATAGATCATTGAGTTAATTCAAATCGTTAATTTTATTAATTTAGAGATGCTTTTTGGAATTATTTTTACTTGGTCAAATACAATAGCAATTAATTGTTTTCTTATATAATACATTCGAATCAATAAAAGTAAATAATAACTGTTATTCATTATTTTTAATACTACATTATTAAAACAGCATGTAACAAAATGTAAGATGTCAGAGAATATTAAAAACCTCATAACATTGTCTGAAAATACGATTTTTTAAAACAACGTACCTAAGCTAAATAAATTTTCTCTGACACTGTTGTAACTTGTCTGAAAATGTTGTAACTTGTCTGAAAATGTTGTACCTTGTCTGAAAATGTTGTACCTTGTCTGAAAATGTTGTACCTTATATGAAAATATTGTACCTTGTCTGAAAATGTTGTAACTTGTCCAAAATTGTTATAACTAGCCCGAAGATGTTGTGGCTTTCCCGGAAATGTTGTAGCTTTGCTGGAAATATTGTAGCTTATCCGAAAATTTTGTAGGCTTTACAAAAATTTTGTAACTAAAATATTGTAATTTTTGTCACTTGTATGTAACTTGTCTGAAAATGTTGTGACTTATCCGAAAATGTCGTGGCTTGTTCGAAAATGTTGTGTCTGATACTGTGTAACTTGCCTGAAACTGTTGTAACTTGCCTGAAACTGTCGTAACTTGCCTGAAACTGTTGTAACTTGCATGAAACTGTTGTAACTTGCGTGAAATTGTTGTAACTCGCCTGAACTGTCGTAACTTGCCTGAAACTGTCGTAACTTGCCTGAAACTGTTGCAACTTGCCTGAAACTGTTGCAACTTGCCTGAAACTGTTGCAACTTGCCTGAAACTGTTGTAACTTGCCTGGAACTGTTGTAAATCACCTGAAACTGTTGTAAATTACCTGAAACTGTTGTAACTTGCCTAAAACTACTGTAATTTGCCTGAAACTGTTGTAATTTGCATGAAACTGTTGTAACTTGTCTGCAACTGTTGTAACATGCCTGAAAGTGCAGTAACTTGCCTGAAACTGCAGTAACTTGCCTGAAACCGCTGTAACTTGCCTGAAACTGCTGTAACTTGCCTGAAACTGCTGTAACTTGCTTGAAACTGCTGTAACTTGCTTGAAACTGCTGTAACTTGCCTGAAACTGCTGTGACTTGCCTGAAACTGCTGTAACTTGCCTGAAACTGCTGTAACTTGCTTGAAACTGCTGTAACTTGCCTGAAACTGCTGTAACTTGCCTGAAACTGCTGTGACTTGCCTGAAACTGCTGTAACTTGCCTGAAACTGCAGTAACTTGCCTGAAACCGCTGTAACTTGCCTGAAACTGCTGTAACTTGCCTGAAACTGCTGTAACTTGCTTGAAACTGCTGTAACTTGCTTGAAACTGCTGTAACTTGCCTGAAACTGCTGTGACTTGCCTGAAACTGCTGTAACTTGCCTGAAACTGCTGTAACTTTCCTGAAACTGTTGTAACATGTCTGAAAATGTTGTAACTTGTTTAAAAAAGTTACAACTAATTCGAAAATGTTGTGGCTTGCCCTAAAATATTGTAATTTGACCGAAAGTGTTGTGGCTTATCTGAAAATGTTATAGTTTGTCCGAGAACGGTGTAGCTTGCCTGAAAATTTTATAACTTGTTCCAAAATTTTTTAAGCTTTTTAAAAAGATTGTAACTTGTTTTGAACTTATTGGCACTTGTATGAAAAGTGTTTGAAAATGTTGTAACCTTTATAAAAATGTTGTAACTTTTCTGAGAATGTTGTAACTTGTCTGAAAATATTGCCAACTGCCTGAAGATATTGTCGGAAAATATTATTAGGTGTCGAAAGTATATGAAGAAATGCCGAAGTATATAATTATGGTATACATCATCGCAATATATCAATATTTGTCTTAAATATTGTGAAACAAATTGGAAAATAATTATACAGCTGTATGTTAAGATTTATTTATTATCATATTATTTACTACCAATACTAATTAAAATAGGCATATAGTTTTGTTCGAAGTATTTTATAATGTAATATATTCTTAATATTCTTGAAAAATAAACAACTTTTTTACCATATTTACACTTTTATAGTTCATTTTCTTTCAATTTTGTTCATTTTTTTTTCATTTTTTTCACAAAATTTTTATTCAATTTTTATTTTATTCTTTAATTTCATTATATATTTTTAATTATTTTTTATAAGTATATATCATTTAATATTATAATAATGACTGCAGTCTAATCAAACAGCAATTAATTGGTTTTACTAGGTTATAACAGTAATATATTTGAGTTCTAATAAAATTATTTTAATATACATCAACACTGATATATTTATCATTTAGTTAGTAATCTTACACGTTAGAATGAACATACTTATAAAACTTTTTTATACCATTTTGTCATGTTTTTTTTCCTATTTCAGCGATATTCTCCTCACGACGACTACGGCTACGGCGGCTCTACGGGGCCACCAGACAACACCTATGGCCAGGTGAGGTCTTACAACAACGATCCCAGCGATCCAGAACCTTTATTCTACAACAGCAGGCCGAGGTCATACCGAACTGATTATTCCAGGTAAAACAATCAATTTTAATTCAAACAACACATTATAATTAACACGGCAACACGGTTAACATCGTTCGCTGATGTCTCTTTGTATAACGTTGCGGTGCTCAAAATCCATTATTGGAATATTCAAAATTAATTGGAAATCAGAATTACGCGTTAGGGAATGGTTTGCTGTTATTTATATGCGTGGATTTTATGATTTTTATGTACTAAAACCTACCTATATTTAAACATGTGTATTTGAACTTATTTAGTTTGTGGTATAAATTGAAAGTGATGTATAAACACAAAAAAGCTAGAAATAGATTTTTGCATATAATAAGTTCATATTTAAAGATAATATTTATATATAATTAATTTTGAATTGAACACTTTTTATTTTATAATTTAATGTGGTTTTTGTTTTTCCCAAATAATTTGTGTACATTATCTATGAGTAATATAGAATCGAATCGTATGGTTTTTAAAATTTATAGTTTATAAGTTTATATTTTTGTTTTGAGATTCTTAGTTTTTTTCTATCATATCAGATGGATTATTCAAAAATCATTTTGTTTTTATCTATATACTATTCAACAATTCAAAAAACTCTACATTAAGAAAGAAAAGTAAAAGTGTTTAAAACATCTTTATTTTTCCCATGATATTTTCACATATTTTTTGTCGAATCAATGGATATGAATAATATCGAACAAGCTTATAGTATATTAAAATAATACGTTTGAATTAACCACTAGTTAGGTGCAAGGCATCGCGCCTAAAGACAAATTGCTGGAACTTTCCGTACTGTAATTTGAACATTCTCGGAATTTCTCAACTCTTTTTTTTTTAATTTTTCAAAATTTGAAAACATTTAAATAACTTGAATACTGAAAAGGTAGGTAGCTTTTATCGAAAAAAAAAATAGTTTTTCTGTGCCAACTTAAGTTTTTTTTTTTTCTTTGAATATTTTGAATTTTTTGAAGTTTGAATAACTATTTATGTTTGGATATTTGGATTATTTTTCTTGATTTCCGAAACCACTGGACCTGCCTTTGCAAAAACGTAATTAATTTTTTATCACGTCAATACATGTGGAATGTTTTTTACTAATTCAAATCGGAGAAAAATCAGTATTTGACAAATATTAATTTTAATTTTAACTTGTGATCTTTTTAGAAATGTAGACACTTTCATTTATGAATACACATGTTTGAACATTGTTGCTGTATATAAAATATATTTTATTACTTATTACTTTCATTGTAGAATAAACAGTTTATTGCATTTATTGGATCAATTTTAATTTGCGGTCGTAAATGTGGTTGTTCCAAATAAGATTCAGCAAGGATACAGTGCCTTTAAACATTGTGTTTCTGTATATAAAATTGATTTCAATTTATTACCACCTTTATCGTGAAATGAACAATTTGTTGTCAAGTACAATTAGAGCACGATCTACATTTTCCTGATGTCACGTATTCATTTGGAATCGTACCTACTATATCTTAGATTAGAGCAACCAAAACTAATTAAATTCGCTTAGTCAATTAATCCGGGAATTTAACCTTTGCCGTATGCTCCAAATAACGCGAGTCAAATATATAATAGTATTATGCGAAATGCGTAGACATAACTTTATGATTTCGAATCATGATAATAGTTAGAATTGTTTGAATAACATTATTATATTTTTTTAACTAGTCGTTACGAGCATCGTACGAAATAATTGAAAAAACATTCGATTTGTATGAAACTTAGTGATTAGTTTTAGGCATATGCAAGTCCGGCCGTTTTAGAAATAAGGAGCCAAAAGTGCAAAACTTGTTATTCTTAATTTTTTGCAAACGTCGTTTATGGACGACATCCGTTTGACGACCTGTTTGTACGTACCCAAAATCATGTAATTTTGAAAGTGAACTACACATTTTTAAAAAAAAATTGATCCAAACAATGCAAAATAAAAAATATATAAAAGAAGAAAAAGAAAAATAATAGAATAAAATTCTCTATATATTTGTTTAATTAAGAGCGAAAAATAATAAATGTCAAGTAACGAGAGTTGTTTTTAGTAAAGGATTATAATTCAAAATCTTGTTCTCAACCAAATAATTAAATTACCGAATAATTAAATTCCTTACTGTGTTTACGTCATATTGTTCCAACGTCGTAGAATTATTGTAAACTTATGAATAATTATGAGGAGAAATTGAGGCATAATGTTGACCTTTGCATGTTTTAATATTATTAATTGCCAGTTGCTTATTATTAGTCCAAGCGGATATAAATGAGACTCTTATATAAACCTAGGTCTTAATCTTAATATAATCAGAGCACGATAAAAATAAATAAATAGAAATGAAATGATATTTACATTATATGTATACATAAAGACTGAGGTTTTAGTCACATTTATTTCAATGAACGACTTTTGAAGTATATTTTCTCAAGATTCATAAGGGATGATCAGAATCTGTAAAATCCTAAAGTACACACACATATTTATATATATATATATATATATATATATATATATATATATGAGGAAAGTTAAAATTGATAGTAAAGAATTTCTAAACGACAGTTATGTATTTAATGTTTTAATTTTCTTGAACTAATACCTTTATTAGATTTTATATTATAATTCTTATAATTTTTCTCTTATATGATTCATTTAATTTAATTATTAATAGTTATCTTACAATTTTGTTTAAACATATTTGCAGACATTCTATAATATATATGTTTACATGCTTCCATTTAAAAGACGTCGTACACGAAAATATAATAATAGTGCAAGGTGAGAAACAACAAATTTTAGAACACCTTAAAAATTTTTACTTATTGACATGCTTCCACTTATTACCCTTTAAAGCACATTTGAAAATTTCACATTATTATAATATTTTTATCATATTCAACACATCATAATTTGTCACAACAATTTACTATAATTTGTAATGAAACCTCAATATTATTGCAAAGTTTATCTATTTAACTATTTTTATTACGATGCAATTTTGGTAGAGAAATATAGAGACTCCAATATTTACAAATTTACTTATTTTTCACACTGGTTATGAATTGTATCATATCTATCGTAAATTAACACAAAAACTCACAAATCGTTCAATTGTGAAGTTAACTAGGATCAATTTGTTTTAAATTTAAAAAGTAAGAAAAATTTACGATTAGTTGAAGTAACGATTTGGTTTGATCGATTTCACCAGATCTGATATACAAATTTAATTTTATACTTTTCTATATATAGAAAAAAATGTTGTTTTATAACAAACTAAATTTTTGAAAAAGTTAGTTACAAGATTTTTATCTCAAAATTCATATCATCATATGAACTTTTGTTTATATCATTTTAGTTACATATTTGCATGATTTTTTATATTTTGCATGTAAAACATCAATTTTTTACTCGTAATTTGTTCCCCTTTGAACACAAATAATATTTCATACAATTGATTGATTATAAATACATAATGTTATTTTTTTCAATTTATACTATATCAGGCCAATCAATTGTTATTCGTTCATACGATTGAAATTACCATAACAAAAATTATTACAATCAAAAAACTGGTTTGATATAAATTCATGAATAATTAGTTTATATTCTATTCACATAGCTTGAATATGTAATTATTTTTGCAATGATATGGCAATATTTTACATTTTAATATTTAATTAAAATTATTGTTTGCAAAATATTTTCTACTTAATTAAAATAATTTTGTACATAATTTTTGATATTTAGTGATATAGTATTCACGTTCTTTCATCTATTTTAACAAAATTTTAATTAGTTTATTAATATGATTTTTATTTAAAATCATGTCACTATATTGAATGGTTTTCAATTTTTTTTTATGATTTTTTATTTGAAATTGAATACATTTTTTAACTATTATTATCAAAACAGTTGAAAATATACTTTTCTGTAAGACATCACAACAATTTTAAAATCTGTTACAAAAGCTTTTCTATCTCTACAATAAATTGTGAATCAGGATTGTCATTTTTTTATTTTTTTATGTAATTTAATGATTACATAAAATTTATGTCATTTTTTTATGTAATTTTTTTTAAATAATAGCCTGATTTAACATTCAAAGCATAATGAATTATATTTCAACAAATGGTAATTCTAATTAAATAAAACTTATATCTTTATATGTGTATAATTTTCAATTATAAAAAATTTCACTCGTTAACTAACTTAATGTAAACAACTATAATTACCAGTTTTTTAAATACAAATGATCACTTAAACATTTGAAAATATATTCTGAAATTATATATTTTGCTCTAATGATGTATGAATAAAAACCACGAATAAATTTATGTACCTTATAGGTATAACTGCCATCTAAAAAACACAATCATTATATGGTAAACATCAAACAGATGTTTTCATGCATTTGAAATACCTAAAATCTCTTAATAATGCACTTGACTTATGATATGACAATATAACCTCACGTAAAGTATTAAGTAAAACCAAAGACTTTAGAGAATATTGAACACAAAATTTTAGTGTCTTTGAATTGCATAAAATCCCTATTGCATTTCATACATGGTATAATGATAAATTGTATATCTCCAGTATTTTTTAATATATTTTGTCACCTAATCTATTGAAAACACCTTCCAATAGCACTTGTATTGATTTGCAATTTATGAACTGCAATTCATACAAATTTAGGCACATGGTATCAATAATAGTACTTACTACTAATTTTCCAGCATCTATCATTCCCAAATTTTAACCTTCGGGTTTTTGGAATTTATAAAATCAAACTTGATTTTTGGTAGGTATAACTATTATTTATATTTTTTTCATTCATTCGATCTTGAATCCGATTGTTTTTTTTAATTATTTTGCATTTGATAATTAACCTCAACCTTGACTTATACACTTTTTGCATACTTTTGAATACTTTTGTTTTTTGCACAGTGTTATTTACAATCATTATAAATCTATGCACTTAAGATAGGTAACTATAATTTAACGCATTTCACTAGTTTCCTAATATTTTCTATCTTTATCCACATTGTTTTTGCAACTAATGTATAACTATATTATCAACTTTGAAATGCCCATAATGTGGTCAAATTATTAACCTGATGGTTTTTGGATTTGTGATAATTGCAAGACTCACCTGTATGGATATCTCACCCAGTTGAGTTGAGATTCACGTTGATTTCTGGGACACCCTGTATACAACTATTATATTTTCCTATCAATTTCCAGCCAGCAAGAGGGTCAGTGGTACGACGGCCTAACAACCGGCGACTACCCCGGCTCGCAGAACTACGAAGATTCGCTGTATAAACAAATGCAAATTTCTGACACCGCCACTTACTTGAGCAACCAGGAACCGCCTTCGAGGAAGACTAGAGGTAAAATTTGAATTATTTATTGTTCAGGTGTTTCCGAAATGAGATTCGAAAAAATCGACTTTTATGTTTATTTTTCTCTCTTTGATGTTTCGAATGCCAAGTCGTAAAGATGAGAGAGTATTCTTGTTTTGTTCCACCGGAAAGGTCGTAGGATAAGTGGAATTGTAGAAATATTTTTTCACTGCGTCTTTTTATTATGATATTTATTTGTAGGATAAATGTAATATAAAAAGAATATTTTAAAAAATAGTGGAGCATGGCATCGTGCCTTGAAATAAATTGCTGGAACTTCCCGTACCAAAAACTATTATTTTCTTTAAAAACTTTAAATTTTTTCAAAACCTTGATAAAGATAGATTTGTGAGAATTTTGAAATTTTTGAAAAAAATGACTTTTTCGCAAACATTATCATTTTTCTTTATTTTGAAATATGTTGAAATGTTTGAATTTTTTTTCAAAGCAATTGCGCTCCGTAGCTGTTTTAAAGACAGAAGCTATATATCGAAGCGCGTAAGCGCCGCGTCGCAGTGCAACGGACATACATTAGTACAACCCATAGAAATATTAAAATTTCTATAAAATATCTGATAATTTGATGTGCATATGTTAAATGATCATTTTTGATCGTTAAACAGCTTTTTTTTTTCTTAAAACTTTTACTTTTACTTTTACTTTTTTTCTTAAAATGTTAATTGGTTCATATTTTTACCAATACGAATAAAATGTTTTTGAGTAATTCAAATCGGACACTTTCAAAAATTGAATTACCATTTTTGACACTATTTACCCCGTATCTTCGAAACGGCTAAACCTGTCTCCCTATTTATTAACCCCTATTAATACGAATCATTTTTTGAATTACTCAAATCGGTTAATCCGCGTTCCCGAGATCGCCGACAAAAATTTGTCGGCACACACACACACATACATCCATTTTTTCTAAGGTACGCCAAAATATTTAGAAACCTTTGAAAAGTAAAGATTTAAACACAATTTTATTTTCGATTTTTTTGCTATTCCCATAACTAGCCCTGCGGGAAGTTAATTAATTACTCTGTATTTTATTGATATTTCCATTTATTATATATGAATTATTATAACAAAAATTATTACATTTGAAAAATTATTTGATATAAACTCATGCATAATTAATTTGATTTTTATTCACATTGTTTGAGTATGTAATTATTTATGCAATGATATGCAAAACTGCATATTTTAATACTTAATTAAAATTATAATTTCTAAAATAAATTCTATATTTATTAAAATAATTATATACATAATATTTGATGTTTTGTGATGCAGTATTGCTGATTTATATTAGAGATCTTTTTATTTAGTATATGAATAGGATTTGGACTTTAAATCATGTAAATGTTTTGAGAGATTTACATTTTATTCGTATTTTTTGATATTCCAACTTAAACGCATTTTTTTTATATTTTTTTAGTATTTTAAATTCAAATTCAAATATATTTTTTACTTCAAACTGTTTAAATGCTTTTTCAAAGCCTTTATAAACTGCACAATATTTTAGTACAATTTATTATATTTGTGACGCTTGAAATTTTTATTTTTCACTAAATTCTATTTTTTTTGTCATACCAAAACGATTAATACGATATGAATTTAACAATTTTTATAATTTTATTAGTTTATATCAAACAGTCATCCTGATTTTTTTTAAAAAATTAAAACAGATTTTATTAATATTTCTTTATTCATCATTCTCAACTGATAAAATGAGTTCACTTTGTACCGTATGGTTTATACCTTAGGGTTTTTTTAATTTTTTTGATAATTAATAATAATTCAATCAATGGTATCATAGTTATAATTATTGATGGATATTTTGTTTGTCGTCTTTGAAATTTACTTTTAAAACTATTTCAAATTTACTAACATTTTGGTAACAAATTTTATAATAATATATTAATTATAAATTAATTGCAATTTATATTCAAATTTCAATTCATTGTTGCCGGAAATTATTCAATTGTTTACTCAAAAGTATTTATTCAAATACTTAAATGTTTCCTTATAACTAATTTTATTCTCCAATCAATTGTGTTTGTTTCGCCCACGAACAAAAACAAATAATTGAATGCAAAATATGATGAAATCATTGTCAGTTATTAATTTACAAGAGATCTTTCGGGAATTAATTTATACCGCGTTTTCTCTTGCTGAAAGATTTGATCCTGATTAAATATTCAATTGAGTATGATCTGTCTGTGCCGTTATAATTCTTTGTGCAAATATTATGTCAGGATCGGTGAATTTTGGAATGCTTTTTGGGGGTTGTGGATAAATTAAAACGATATGGTAATGAAATATAATAACATATATATTATATATGTGCTGTTATTACTAATACAAAGTTTGAATGTTTGCATTTGAATTATGTTATAAATAATAAAAGTATGTAAATAGTAAAGTTATTTAGGAGATTAGTTTTTGTCAAGGGCAGATGAGACAAACATATGACTTTTATTGATGGATTGAAAAATTGACTAAGTATTTGGAAAGACAGGTCCAGCGCTGTCAAAGATTCATGAAAAAAGTTGAAAAAAAATGCCAGTTCGTGATAAAAAAATGATTATTCAAAACACAACAATACACATTAAAAAAAAATACCAAAAGTGTCCAGCCTTAGGTGTATCAGCTCTCCTACTAAAGTAACTTTTTCCCTGACATTACGAATACCCTTCGTCTCCTTGTTGAAATTATTAATGCGATATTTGGAGAAAGGCGAAAGGGGGAATTGCGAGGAAAAGTTTTGTTCGTACGTGACGCCGCATTTTAATAATCGTGTTGTACAGAGCTGTTCGTCTAGTATATATGGTATATGAAAATATAGAAAACAAAAGGTAGACAGTCACATGAATTTTTATTGCTTTAAATTTAAAAGAATGAAGATGAATAATCTTCTATATGCACAAGAAAAAACATCGTACGCATTAATGCTGCTTATTTGCTATTGTGCTCTATTATTAATAGCTCATTTAAAAAAAATCAATATTATAGATATCAATTTTTTTAAATAATATTGTAAATCGCAATCACAACAACAGAATTTTGTAGCCAATTATGATAATATTAAAATATCATCATTGAAGAAAAAAAATCTATTAAAATCACTCCAGTAAGTAATTTTCTAATTAAGAATAAGGCTTGAAAAATGCAGAACACGAAGTAATTGATTTTATCAAAATTCACAGCGAAAAAGCGTCAAAATGCAACATAAGAGCAACAATTATATTTATGCGTGATTAAATGACAATTTTTTTTTAAGTTTTTATCATCTTTCACAACCTTTACTATAGATCAGATTTTGTAAGAATTTTGGTCTATTGAAAAAGCTCAACTTATTACACAAAATGTAATTTATTCTATTTACTCATTTATGTATAAAAGTGTACATGACAGATTTATGCATCTTCTCAAAAGTAGTATCCAACAAATTTATTGTCTTAGCTGGATCCAATGATTCTCGAACCTGGAAAATCACAAATGGCATCCATTAGTCCCTAAAAATTATTATTTAGTTATAATTATATATTGTTATTTATCTTATATTTTGTTTTGAAATCAAACTAATTTAATTCAATTTTTAGTATCAAATTCGAGAAGACCTAGCCTGGAACGCCAAGAAACTATATACAATGAATACAACGTTTCCTACATGACTAACACCAGGTAACTTATTTATTTATTATTAATAAATAAATAAATATGAATATATATTAATTATTAATAATTATGTATATATTCATATCCAAGTAATCGACAATGATAAATTACACTGTAATTTTACATACTTATTTATAGAAATAAGTCTCACATAAGTATCAATAAATAATTCTTCAAAGTCAATAAATCTAATGGATTACCCTTTCTAGAAATATTTTATTTTTTCAGTTTCTACATAATAAATTATTTGAAGTTCATTGTCTAAAAAGTATATTTATATTTGGAATATACATTATTTGTGTGATCGATTTTAACCCGCGTCTGCGATTACGACATTCGTGAAATATATTTGAATAAAAAATGAATTCAAGTCTGGCGAAATATTTGAATCAAAGTTTCACTAACGGTATTTTAACCAATAATTTTCTGATCCTTTTCATAAAAATTACCATCAATAATAATAATCACAGTTATTATTTTACGTACAATATTTATGTTAATATTATTACTTAATATGTATTGCTTCTCAATTTATAATATGTTTTGAATTGTTAAAAGAAAAGTTTTACACAAAGAACATTGTCCATTTTATAAATTTCTCTTAACGCATTGTTTCCAGCGAACTATTTTGTAATATAGTCATAAAGAACCATGTTTTTGGCGGAAAATTTGATGTAGTAATAAAATGTCCTCTAATTAGGTAAAATATTTGGGAAAAACATAGAAAAAATCTATTGTATAAAATTCATTTCATAAATAATACTCTAATCATTACGTTGCCAATGAATTGAAGTATAAATTAGAAACATCTGGTTTCGTATGCAATCATTTAACGATTAGAAGTAACACATGAGGTTTAAAATGTATTTATTCAAACATACAACTCTTAACTTATCTTTAGTGCGAATATATACAAATAATCAAAATACAATGAAAAACAATAGGCAATTTTATGAAAATATATTTAATAAAGAAAGAAATAGAATAATTATAAATACAAATGATGTATAGATATATACAGTATGAGTAACAAATGGCGATTGATGAATCTGTGAAGCATAACATTGTTTGCCATAATTAAATTAATTCAAAAATATAAGTATAAATCAGTTATAGGTATGGGTTATAATACTATTTTTTACCATTTAAACTAATTTTAAATCTATATCTAGTTACGATGGAATGGGCTATCCGACTGGCGTGAGTGAAGAACACCGCCAGTGGGACAGTGGAGGAGGCCTGACCGCCCCGGCGGTCAACGGTAAATGGAGGGCGCTGCCGGAACCACCGGTGGCGGACGTGTTTGATAACCAATGGTCGTCGAGGGTTCCCAGAAGGCGCAGTGGTTCCGTTTGTGGAGCCAGGTTGCCAAAGACACCAGCTGAACTAACTCAGGACGATTCTTTCAGGTAGGAGACTAATGACAATGGAAGTCTGTAATAAGTAATCTATATTAAAGTCAACAAATTTATGAAAACTCATTACATCTGGTAGATTTGATATATATATATATATATATATATATATATACATATATATATATGTGTATAAACATATATATATATATATATATATATATATATATATATATATGTATATATACTAGCACACCCTGTCAAGCGTCGCCGCGGCTTTTATTAAAATCCACCTGATTAAAATTTGAATACGTTTGACAACGAACATTTCAATCCTTCATTTTAAAAATATCAATGCAAGAATAAATAGAATCCGGATTGAAATTTGAAACTGATCGATCAATTAACAGTTCAATACAATTGATACCATTTTTTTCTGAACTCAAATTAATTTTGAAAAAATAAATTATTAAAGTTTGAAATAAAAAAGAATACTACAAAATTTATTATAAATAACTAAGTGATTTTTACGAATCTGTTGTATCCCATTTGGTATCACGTCCTATTTTCCTCGCTAACATTTTACCAAGGTCAAATCTACCAGATATTATTGGATTTTAGAGATAAGTTCATTTTAGAACAGACTTATTAAAAATAAACTATATTACTTGCAAGCACATTTGTCTCTCCAAGATTTTTATATTATTATACATTATTGAAAAAATATGAATATCAGATAATAACGACCAAATATAATCACGTTTTCTTAAATGATCAAATAAATATTAAATTTTCTTATTATTATATTTCATCTTATTGTAAATGCAAGTGCAAGAGCAGTCAATATAAGTTATGTCTGATATTCTTAAATTGACTTTAACTAGTGACTTTGATTTTTTTAGTAATTTTTATTTATGCTTGTAAATTACGAACAATAACATTTTACATTCCGTCACCATGAAAAAAAGATTAAAAACAACTAATCCTTTAGCGATAATAATCTTTTGCACTAATTAATTTTTTTTAGTATATTAATCTTCAACGCACAAGCTTCTTCTGTTATTACTTTTGCTAAACTCTTAAACCCTATGATAAATTACAGGTTTATAAGTTTTATGCACAAATGTTTAAAGGGTCACAGGGCAAATTTTGCAACAGAACAAAACAAAAATGCCAGGTCAAATCTTGACCTAATATATTAAAATGTTATGATTTTAGGCTGCGTGAACTACAATTAGAATAATTTTGATATCATATGTAGTAAACATAAAAAAATTAATGAACCACTCTTAAACTACAAAAAATAGTATTCATTTATGAAATATAATACAATTAAATATTTTAACAATAAACAGGCAATCTTCAAATGACTCCATTTGTTGTAGGTGACGACAAACAAATATAAATAGAAATAAAAAGTGTAGGCAAAAGGTAAAAAACCTAAAATAGTTCACGTAAAATAATGTGGACTAAATATCAATGACTAGGTTTTTAAATTTTTTAGTTTAGTTTTTATTTTTAGTTTAGTTTAGTATAAAGTTAGTTTTCAATCATAGTCAAGTCACGTATAATATCTCTTCAATTGTTTGACATTGTGATTGTGGCAGCCAATGGTAGCTCGTTCGGATTCACATGACTTATTTTCAAATTTTATCAATTTTTAAAACGATAATATTTGATTGAATTTTTGTTTGTTTGTTAATTTACATATCAATATAATTAATAATGAAGTTTTAAAACTTGTAAAAAATAATTTTTAAGTTTTTTTTTCAAGTTCCTAATTACTGATTGAAATGATTACTGAACAAATTGGACTAATATTATCGTAGTATACTGTACTCAATAATATTTGAATCAGTTAAATGACCTTTAAAGTTCTTTATACACAAAGTTATACATCCTTTGTTTTTTTAGTTCATTACTCATTTACCTTTTTCTTACAATACTCTTTTCCTCTAGTGCTACAGAGTACACGGACATTAGTAACATCACCTACCCGAGTTACCCTGCAACGGTGCCTACGCAGCGCCGCAAGTTGCCGCAGGCGCGACCATCAAGTCGCTGCTCCAACATCGCAGACTATGTTATGAACACGAACGATGTGACCATATCGCATAGGGGAGCCAGTTTACCGGCGACTCCTCCTTGTGGAACACCTACTAGGAATAGAAGGTAATTAAGTGGTGCATAGCATCGTGCCTTAAGGCAAATTGCTGGAACTTACCGTACCACAATTAAATATTCGAGCAAAAAAAATTAATAATCAATAAATATTGATCAATGATTAATAATTGTTTTAAATATTTTCAAATAAATAAATATAATTACTATATATTTATTCGTTCATATAATACACAGTGACAGTTTTATCACTCAAAACACTTGAAAATGCTTTCATTAAGAAGAAATGCTGAATGAATCCATCTTATATTTCTTACGCCTACGAAATATATTTGAAGTATAAAGCCTTGTATATTTTTGAAAATTGTTTTTTTTTCTGAAGATTGTGAAATTTGTTTGAACCGTAAAGGAGAACTTTAAAAATTGAAAATTAAATATCTTGGTACGGAACCAAAAAAAATATTATAAAATTTTTTCTAATTATTGAAATATTTAAAAAATATTTGATAATTTCACGTGCATATGTCTAATGATCATTTTAAACTGCCAAATTTAATTTTTTTTACAAGATATGCACAAATTGTCATTTTTTCTTTTTTTACGATTAATATAACTAGAGAAGTTAACAAAATGTTGGTGGTATTTGGCCTGAAGGCAGTTAGCATGGATTACCTGGTACCTAAACTAGAATCGAGTTTGTCAAGAATACAAATCTATTAGAATATGATAAAGGTTATTTGGCTTTTAATTATCAGAAAACCACTGTTACTTTCCAAAAGACTGATTTCGACATATTTGATTGTCCTGACAAGAAAACGTGGGTGCAAAATTACTCCTTAATGTGTTAACTACACAAAAAAATAACTATATAATTATATACCAAACGCTTATATAACTATATAAGAATGACATTTTTCATGTTAACAATATGAAAAAACCCTGAATAGTTTTCACAAATATCTGAGGAAAATTAGTACAGATTGAAACCCACCAAAAGTCTCTATTGCAGAATTTCTAATATTTGGTTGACAGTTTTACTAACAAAAAGGATACGACATTTCTTTGCCAAAATCTAACCAGCATAATTACCTAATTCTACGATTTTTGAATTGATGTAACTGATTCAGAATTTAGGGGAATAACTTCAAGCAAAATGGTTGACATAACATTAGTTACAAAAAAAACGGCTAGAATTTTATTACTGATAAATTAAAAAAAAAGTTTCATATCTGGGATATAATAAGAAACTTTCAAATTATTAAACGATTTATATGATATAAGCAAACCGTATTTTGCATTTGGAAGAATCGATGAGTTAAACTCTTGAAAATTTAGACATTATTAGAATCTTAATTTCAAAAAAGTAAATATATTTATTAAAACAAATTATCTAGCCTTTATTATAAAAGTATCGAGTGCTTCTTAAATTTTTTAAACTAAGAGCATAATTATTTTAAATGTGTCCATATTAATATTGACAATAACTGACATTATTCAGTGATTTTTATTCAAATTTTAAGCTTCAGGGATTATATATATATATATATATATATATATATATATATATATATATATATATATATATATATATATATATATATATTCTTATAATGTCTGAAACAATAAATATTCCATGAAAATGTACATCGTACTACGAAGTTAGTGCAGTTTATAATTTTTCATAATATTATGCTTATACTTGAAATGCTTGCAGAACATTTATCAGTTGATTTTATTTGTGGTTGTAAGTTGAATAAAGAAACTCAATTAATTCATTTTAAAATTTTATACCATACTTATTTAATGTTGTCATCTGAATGGTATTAATATTTCCAACTAATAGTGAATAACTTGACACATTTTTGAAACACTTCAGATATCAAGAATATTCCTTACTTGTCTAGTTTTAGAATCGGATATTTTATTTTCAAAAAATTCTTATAATTTAATAACTCGTAAATTAATTCTTCAATTCGCTCTTGTAATTTTGGCGATATTAAGCTGTCATGATTGTTATCAAAATCTTAAGTCAAATATTATGGCAAAAGTTTTATCATTCATAAAGATTTATGTGATACCTGCTTTTATTATAAGTATGGCTTTTATGGAACTAAAATTTCCCAAGCTTTGATAACGGGTTATTACTTTTACGATTCATTATATTATACCATCATACCTAAACTAAATAATGCTTTGATATTATATATTTAATATACCACAAATGTTATAAAATATATGATTTTGATATAAATTTAATTATTAATTTTATTTTCAATTTTTTTGTAAAATAAATAATAACTTGCAAAAATACACCCATGCGTTTATTTGACTATAACTCGTTCGAGTTACTAATAAATAATTAACTAAAATAAGTTATTTTGGACAACTATGGAATAATTGATTAGATATATCGTACAGTGACATTTATGAAGGCTATTGACACTGAAACTAAATTGACTAAAAGAAATTCAATGATATAATTACCGATAGACGTATTTGCTTTCAAGGCAAGGTCAGAAAGGTCCCCCAGTGTTTTGTGTTCATTATTGGTTTATTTCAATTAATAGAGAAAGAAATACTAATGTTAAGTACATTTTGTCGGTAATAGTATTATCATTAGAAAATAATGCCAAAGAAATGAATAAAATATAATGGAACTTATACTATTAAATTATTCTATTCATCTTTGAATTATTTATTCATCTATGGCATTAATTATATATTATCAATAAACTAAACCTTACTGCATAATGATCAATAAATACATATTGAAATTTTTCATAGATCTAATAAAAATAAAATTTTAATTATTTTTTCACTTATACCATTAATAGTTCATATTTATCGATAATTTCGGTAGTTTTGATTTTTTGTATTAGCCACATATGTATATATGTATTTTACATTATTTTAATTTGAAAAAAAAAAACATTTAGGGAATTTTTATGATAAAAAAACATTTATAATTGATAAAAAAATTACTAAAAACCGTTGATCGGAGAGACCAATATATTAAGAGCTGCATTTAATAAACTATATCAAGATATCAGCATTATTAACGAAAGTTAATGAAAGTTATTGAAAGTTAAGCTGCTTTTTAGTCAATAATAACCAAATGGTTCATTAATAATGATATGAACTTTATAGTCATGGTGTTAAAATTGATTTGCTAACAACAATTGAAAGTGAATAAATATTAATAATGGAAATGAAACTCTTTAAGTAGTTGTTACAAGAAAAACTGTTATTGGTTACACTTAAAAATGCAAATCTTTTGACATTACTAAATAAAAATTATTCTCACTAGCTGTATGAAATTAAAAATGAGTAATTTTCATACTAAACTTTTTTGATTCTAGTTGAATTAATTAATCCAGCCTACAGACCGACAATATATAACTCATATGAATATAGACCCGTATCATAGCATTAATATTTTATCCGAAAACTAGCAACTATAGCTTTATAAAAAAAATTATGATGTTAAATAATTTATTATTATATAACATTTCATGTATTATTTATAAATTTATATTTATTTTAGATGTCTTCCTCAACCTCGAACAACAACCCCAGGAGGCAGACGTCTTCCCCAAATAACACCAGGAACTCGTCGAGGGCGCGGCAGAAGGCAATTTCAATTAAAACGAAATGCATCTGCCGAACAGTCGGAAGACGTACCAGATTATTATGATCGATCTGGTGCCATGTCAGCAATTCCTTATAATGAAGACTATAATTATGCATACACCAGTAGCAATGACAATCTAGAGGATCAGATGCTGGACAAACCAGTTGCGGCTGTGACGCCTGCAAGGAGACAAGGAGGGGCTGCACTTCCACAGGTTCCTCAGGTAGAGCTAAATTTTAACACTTTCGACTCGGAGTCGGACTGCCGGTCGGTACGCTGCGCTCGGAATATTATAGTGCTAGACTTATCTCTCAACTCGGAATTTTTTTTTGTATCGGATTTTTTCAAAATGTGGTTATATTGGTTTTTAATATAGTTATTATGATAATAATACAGAAAATTTTAAAAATTAAAAAAAAATTGCACTCAAAACCATGCTATATTGTTTAAAAAATCATTTCTTCACAGATCTTTATTAGAATTATGGGGATCATGAGCTAATAAATTAATTTTGTTATATATTTATTTATAAAATTAATAAATCAATCAATAAATGAATGTAATAGTAAATTAATTTTAAAAAAATAAAAAAAAATTAAATGTAAGTTTAGTTTGCGACGAGTCGTCGCCGACAGGATTTGTCGCCGGAGCGGCGGCATCCGAGCTTGACGGTAAAACATATCATGCCGCCGGAGCGGCGGCGCCCGAGCGCAACGGTAAAATGACTATGCCGCCGGAGCGGCGGCATCCGAGTCGAAAGGGTTAAAAAGAGTCTGATAAGACTAAAAAAAAATATTTCATTTGTTCACAAGATAGCATTACATTTTCTATAGCTGGTTTAGTGTGTTCTGAATTCTGGGGTATTTTGTACTAGTCTGTACTTGGTTACTTCTTGAAAAGTATCGATTGAGATAGTTTGTGTATAATAAAACGCTAACTTTAATGAAAAATCATAATGCTAAACAATAATCATTTAAATAATATAACTTATAAAACTTAGCCATTACAGTTGTATATGATTAAATTATAAATTAGGTGGTTTTATATCTAAAGAGACAATATATTTCGAGTTCGTGAAATTAGGTCATGATTAGGTAGATAAGAGCATCATAGTTACCTTGAGATTTAAGTAACATAGAATTTTAATCACATTAGAAATTTTATTCAAAATTCTTTATTAATGTTATTCAATTCATTATTGAGATTCAGTTAATGGACAACAGGATATCCAAAAAATATCTTTACTATTTTTATTAATACTGGTAAAATAATTATAATTTTTCAGAACATATATTCAAATATGTTTCCAAGAGCATGCAGAAAAACCATTTTAAATATATCATTGATATCATAATTATAACATCTTGGTTTTATAACAAAAAAAATATAGAGAATAGACAGATCATCGGGTTGGCATTTTACAGTAGAAGTAATATCACCACAACTCTTAGTTTTAACAAATGAAGGAAAATTTATTATTCAATTAATAAAAAAATATTATATTTTTTATAGTAATATTGTCAAATCTACTATTTCGGAATCATTTATAACTACAAAAAATTAAGAAAATGATATGCACAAATATTTCTTGATAATTGATAAATTTTCTTTTCTTTGGAACAAGCACCGGGTTTTAATATAAAAATATACAAAGTAGATAGATAACCTATTGAGTTACCTCCAAAAAAACATTTTACAGTTGAAGTATCATCACTACAACTGTTGGTTTTTACAATGAAAAAAAATACTTTCAATATTTCATAATAACAATGTCAAAAGGAGGATTTTGAAATCATTCATATTTATGAAAATATTAAAGCATATTGAGATAGTTTGAAACGATTTGCAACAATATTTCTTAAAAATTTGTTTATTTTCATTGGAACAAACACTGGGATATAACTAACTCAAGTAGAATATAAAAATATATAAAAAATATATAAGTCAAACATCGGGTTGCCTTTGAAAAAAATAGCTTAAAAAATCTTGATTCCTATCATCAACTACTCTACCCTTTACAAAAATAACTCAAAAAAATTCCTGCTTCCTATCATCAACTACTCTTAAGTTTAACAATGAAAACAATCATTATTTTATAGCAATAATGTCAATTTTTTAGTTTGAAATCATATTCAAATCTATGAAAACGTTAAAGTATTTCAAAATAGTTAAGAACGCAACAATATATATTTTTAAAATTGGTATTTTTGCTGAAACAAGTACTGGGTATTCAGCATAATAGTATATAGAATATATAGGTCATTGGCTTGCCTTTAAAAATAATTTAGAGTAGACATATCATAACTAGATCTCTTAGATATAACAATACAAAATAACAACAATATTTTATAGTAAAGCAGGAAAAAATACAAATGTTTAAAACGACTTGCAACATTTTTTAATTCCAATTGGTACATTTTCTCTTTGTTGTTAGTGTATTTATTTAATCTTTGTAATATTGTAAACCATAAACACATAGTTTCAATCTTTAGAAATGAATTTCTGTTACACTTTTTACAATTATGTAGTAATAAGAAATTAGATATTATTTATTTATTTTTTAAATATATAGCCCACAGATTTCATCCAATAGGACTTAATAATACAATTATCTATATTATATCTTTGCTATATTATTATTCGCAATATAGATACCAATTAATATATATACATAATTACAATATATAGTAAGATTAATAATGCACTTAACACAAAATAACATAATACAAAATGCAATAATACTATTTATTTACATAGAATAGGATAAAAAAATTAAAGATATTTAAAAAGAAATAAAAAGGTTAACTTTGAGCATATTGAGATTATTTGATTAGGTGATGTGTTACGTATATCTATTTTATTATTATTTAGGTTAAAGTTAGAGGACATCAGTAATAATAATCAGCGAATTAAAGAGAGAAATATTAAAAAATTATTTAAGAAATACTAGATTTTTCATATTAATCTATTACATTAATGTCGTTTATTTTTTTAGGTACCCGCATATCAGCCTCCTCCCGAGGAAACTTACTACAGTGCCCAAGAAGACTACAGTCGACCTCGTCTAGGAGGTCGTAAAACGTACTTCGAGCAACAAAACACCGATTCATTAGAATCCAGAGACGACGATTTGAAAGCAGATTCATTCGACACAGCTTTCTCGAGTGTCAGTACTGCATTTTACAAAAACCAGGAATTTCAGGAATACAAAGAAGAATATGACAAACCATCAGTCGTGACTACGAGCGCCCAACAGCAATATTTTAGGGACCAACAAGATTATCAGCAACAAGTTACTACGACGTCGTCGACTCTGCCACATGTTTCTATGAATGGTAATAATTGATAGTTGTTTTTATTTTATTTATTTATATTAATCAAAATAAACTGGTATTCTATTAGTAACAGAGCTAATTAATAGTGAAAACTTTACTTTGATAGTGAAAACTTCAAAAGTCAACTAACTCTTATACATACATTAAACAGTATGTGTTAGAACAGCTACGTATAATTTTATTTAGAATTTCTGTGATAATGGCAAAACTAATTTATATAATTCATAGATAAATTATAGTTTGAAATTTATAGATAAATGTACAAAATAACAATAAAATATTTTTTAATATTATTTTATAAATCAAATTATTTACTTTTTTTACATCTATTGACATGTTAGACGATTCTTTTTGAAATGTTATAAATTGCCGAATAATTTGATAATATTTTTTAAATTCAATTTAGCTTTTGAACAACGTATGATTTTGGTAAAGATATTTTCTGTGGGTTAATATATGGTACAATTTAATAAATTATAAATCTTTGCTTAACTTATTTTATTATATTATAGCTATTTTACTTAGCTTTGATCCACTCTGAAAATATTAAAATTTTTGTACGTAAAACTTCAATTTATAAGCTTTAATAATCATTGCAATGAAAAATTGGTAAAAACCCTTTTTTGGAATAATAATTCAGTAATTTATGAATACCAATTATAAAATTACTCTCAATCCATTTAAATCAAACAATTTAATTAGAAAACATATATTTCATGAAGGCTATGTATGTACTAGTATTTAATGAGAATTCTTCAAAAATTTCGAATTTATTTTATATATTGAAAACTTAAGTCAATATCTTTTGAATTAGAATTGCTCTGAGAAAACCAATAAGTTAAAAAATATATTATTTCATATGTTAAAATATACTCAATGTTAAAAATAATATTCTACTTACAAGCTTAAAAAATTAATGGCAAAAAATTTTTCAGACCATAATGTTCAAGTATATAATATCAGATTTTTTACTAAATATTGTAGTATTTATAAGAACTAATTACAAAACTACTTTAAATTCATTAAATGCATTTTAATACATTTAGATAACAATTGCTCAAGAAATAGTAATAGATGGCGAAAATTTGTCAAATATATCGAATTTATTTTACATATTAAAAATTTCAGTTAAGAGAGCACAAAATGCAATATATTAACATTTTTATTACATCATACATGATACTATTTTCCTTTTTATATCATTGTCATATATAGGTTGTCAAATATCTCCCTTCCGCCTTTTTGTATTATAAACCAAGAGCAAAAAAGCGGAAGGAAGATATTTGACAACCTAATATTAGAAATTTGGTCAACTTTTGATAACATAAATTGCTGAAATTTTCATTAAATTTAATTTATATCCGATTGTTGGAACATGGCATGAATAAAATAAAATAATGCATATCTTAAAATTTGAATATTGTTAAAGATACTCAAACTTTTAGTCAGAAGTTATTACAAAATGTAATCAATTCCGGATTAACATATTGAATATACATTAATAAGTTCTAAAATGCTGCGTAGTTGATATTAGATGTCTGACATAACCTTAGTACATTCTTAAAAATATGCACACTATTGCTCAACTCTTAATAAAAAATTAACTTATAAAAAATAAATTTCACCTTCAAATATAACTAAATCCAAGAAAAAAACACTTAAACAAAAAGTGAAAAGGTATTGCTCAATATTTAGGAAAAATTAACATAATAAAATAAATTTGACGTTTAAATTAAAATTTAAATCATTGTCTGAAG